AATAGGCCCCTATATATATATATATATATATTAAAATTTTATTTTATATTAGCAATAAAAGCAAAATGGTAAACAAAAATACATATTCTGCAACATCCTATTGAAGGACATTATTCTTTATTTTACGAAATTAAAAATTTATATTTGTTAGAAAATAATTTCGCTAATGCAACAGCCTTTTTATTCCTTATCCTGAAATTGTTTCAATGTCCTTCACACACCCATGTAAATATGCATCATATTCATTATGAAATTATTTCAAGACGCACCGGTTTCATCATGAATCCATTTTAGCATGTAATTATTTCATGACAAACTACATACATTATGCACCCGTTTTATTTTGCATTTCACCTACTAAATGGATCAACTACACCATCACTGAAACGGGATTCACCATCAAACCAATTCACTATTCATTGTTCAATTACGCCATTAACTAGTTTCACCTTCATGAAACTTGTTTCATGTACATAAATTAGTTTATTTCGTTCCTAATTTGATGAATTCATTTATTTAACCCTTACAATCTTAAAGATTTTGTAGCAGATTACAATCTTTAAAATTATGGAGCAGATTCATCATGTACTCGTTTCATCATACAATTATTTCATGACGAACAAAATACATTATGCATCCGTTTCACTATTCTTGGTTCAATTACGCCATGAACCAGTTTCACCTTCATGAAACCTATTCCGTGTACATTAATTTTCTTATTTCACCCATGATTTGATGAATTCATTTCTTTAAGCCTTACAATCTACAAGATTCTGGAGCAGATTACAATCTTCAAGATTCTGTAACAGATTCATCATGTACCCATCATGCATTTATTTCATGACGAACCATATACATTATGCACCAGTTTCATTTACCACTTCACCTACTAAATGGATCAACTACACCATCACTGAAATGAGTTCACTATGAAAATGTTTCACTACTCATTGTTCAATTATGACATGAACCAGTTTCACTTTTATGAAACCTGTTTCATTTGTATTAATTTCTTTTTTCAATCATGATTTGATGAATTCATTACATTATACCTTACAATCTTCAAGATTCACCAGCAGATTCAATCGCATCACAATATATTTARTTCAAAWTTTTAAAATTATAATATAATTAAATATTTAAATGTTACCATTTATAAAATTTTCTTTATTACGTTTCCTTAATTAAGATTTATTAATAATTTTCATATTTAATTGAAAATATTGTGAATGACCGGAATAACCTTATTGATTAAATTTAATTTAAAAAAATGGAATTTATCTATTGGTCGAAATTAGTTTAGACGGTTTCTTAGAAATGCACAGTTTTCATTTG